TTTAAACCTTAGTTGCTTGACTGCTGTTTGCAGTACTCCAGCACAGTCCCTAGACCATGACCAGGACCAAATAGCACAGCACACGTACACCCAGCCTGGTGCTGATGCTCTGCCCAAAGGATCTTTTTTCCCTTTCCCATCTCTCCCCCTTCCCTGATATACAGCCTTGTCCAAATCATTTCACCTCCTGCATTCCCATATAAAAAAAATCAAGCATTTATTTAGAGGTTCCTCAAGACACTATTTTAGTTATCAGCGCTTTTACCAAAAAACTGGTAAAAGTTTACCATTCACACCTGGGGGGTACATGGAGCTCTATGAACAGCCACATTTGAAGAAGAGAGGCATAGGAATACACAAATCTCTTTTTCCAGCATCTGAATTTATGGCTAGAAACTAAACTACCAGCTTTACAATGATTTACTGCTGTAGGACGAGACCCATGAGATATAAACAGAGGAGACAACCCTGCAGAACAATAAATTGCCACAAACCAAACTGTCATCATGAAACGCATAAAAGCCATGTGAAAACAACCCTGCTGATGGGACACAGAGGGCCTTTTGGCAGCTGCTGTTCTGCTGGCATGAGGTATAGGTGCCTCTTCCAAAGCAGGCAAGGGGGAGACACCTGTCCCTGGCCTCCACCACCACCACCTGCAGCTCTTCCCATCTCCTTCCCTGGCCAGGGTCTGGGACACCCCACTGGCTTCTCATGAGCTTTGCCCCATGATGTCCAGAGCACCAGCCCCCAAATCCTGATGATGAGACATTTCTGAAAGGCTATCAATTTTCATCAGGCCCAAAGGCACCTAAAGTACCCAAACCCTTTGGACAGCCTGGCCAAGTAGTTTTGGACTCTTCTGTTGGTGTGGTCCCACTCTGGGACAGGCACCTATCTGAAGATATTTGTCTTTGCCCCAGGGATCAGATGGGACAAGACTAGCTCTGAGAGGAGCCCATGAGTGATCACTGCAGCTCCTGATCTCCTTTGCCTGCCAGGGCTGCGTCTCTGTAGGTCCTCATGTCCCTCCAAGCCCCAGCACTCATGAACTTCAAAGCCACAAGAAATGCAGGAATAATTCTGGGGAGCTCAGCCAGTGGCTTTACAAGGACGGCTTGGTTTTAATTATGTGCCTGGGGGATTTCTTGTGGGAGGATGAAGCAACTAGATCTAGCATCACTTAGCAATGGAAGGGTAGGAATTTAACGCAGATGATCTGAAAGGCTGAGCAACATCCCTTTGAATGTATTTATTTAACCTAGAAGTTGAGTATCTCTGTATTTCTAAGGTAGCTGATACTGGGTGGAAAATCAGGAGAATAAGTGTTTCTTAGCTTTCAGAGGGACCAGAAGGGAAAAAAAAAATTAAAAAGATCTCCAGTATAAATTTTAATTCCCCATAGCATTACACGACTGGGATGTGAGTTTATATTCAGAGCCCTAGTCCAGTGCAAAGAGAGCTATGATAGATGGCACGCACGTCTAGTTCACTGACAATCCCCCCTCCCGTACCAAATTTCTCCCTCTGTTGAGGATAACGTGAGATTTTCCCAAACAGCCCCTTTGCTGAATCTGCCTTTCTGCTTAGACACCACAAAGCCAGGCAACTCGGCACTGCTTTGAAATGGGGGGGCGGCGAACAAAACAAAGAAATCCAGAGAGACTGTCCGCAGGGAAATCCAAGGAGCTACAAGATAAAACGAGAGGCAAAGAGGAATCCTTATGAAAATGCATGAGATGTGAAAAACTGACAGGCCAATTAAACATGCCTAAATACGATCAGAGATTATCCCAATACCACTGCCGTGTCCTATTGTTCTCCACCCTCCCTTTGTTCCGCCTCCCCAGCCCTCCGGAAAGCAACTCACCAGCATCCCTCAATCCCTCCTGCTCATCCCTCCGACCAGCGACAACCGCACACATTACAGGCCCATCACTCCTTGCCTTGTGTCTTTGCACAAATTGCTTTTTTTACCAGTCCCGGGCCAGCTGATGGCATTTCTGCTTTCTGTGCACTGCTCCTGAAGAAGGCACACGAATGCCAAGAGCCTGCGGGCAGTGGGGGCTGGCTGACACTTCTGTAAACACCATGCTAATCTGTTTAAGATATTAGACTCCCATATATGTGTTTTTAATAATAAAGGCAACATTTAGATGCTGCCAAGGTATCAGAGAGACAGTAGCAGACGCAGAAGAGCCACCTCCACCATATCAACAATGGAAAATGCTCTCTTATCTTTTCATACCACTAGGTCTCCAGGCTGCAAAAGAAATGATTGCATTCATTTACATTTTATTGTGGCGATATAACTGGCTGGAATAACTGCCGGCAGAGAACCTGACTGCAGGAATGCACTATTTTTCTCTCCATTTACCTTAACAGATGCTTTTTTTTTTTCTGCAATCCATCACTATCACTGTTGTCTAGATGGCAGAAGGGGCATTAACCCACTGCCTATCTTGCATTTAGGAAAAAAAGCCATTGGTTCAGCTTTTTACAAAGCCTCGGGCTAATAAACTGTTCCAGAGTAGCAGGGACTGTGAAAGAGGGTCTCTCCACCTGAAGCGTATCCAGGCAGTAAAGCTAAAACTTTCTTAGATAGTCACACATTCACGTCCCAAAAGCCTTACAAGCCACAGAGTCAGCCCATGTGAACCATCTTTGTCTTAGCCAGTCACCTATGCTTCCCTTACAGTCAACAGAGAGGAACAGGCTCTCCAAAGAATCATTCATCCCTCAGGTTTGAGATGTCTATTTTGGGTTGAGAAGCACCGATTCCCTTCCTTTCCCTGCTAAGCAGCCTGGACACATAGCTCAGTGGGAGAGGTCTACCCCACATGTCCAGCTGACATGGACCCAGGCCACCTATCTAGTATTGCCTATACAGGTAGGCATTAACTGCAGGTTCAAAAGATCTGTTTCATTCTTTTGATAAAAAAGAATAACCAAATAAATTAAAAATATCCAAAGCACAATCTCTCAGGTCAGCACCCAAAAGCTTAGCAGATGGTTAGAAGGATGAGAACTGAATGTAAATCTCAACCCTGATGGGACCATGTTCCCAGGCAGCAGGAAAGCTCAGGGCTGGGTGTGAACCTTCTCAGCTGACAACTGCCTATTAAAAAGATAAAGTAAAATACACACAAGGTTAACAATAGTAATAACTGTCAATTTAGGCCTAGCTAACATTTTCCACTGCCTCCTCGTTTTCAGATACCTAAATATTTTCAGTTTTTAATTTCCTTTCTTATCTGTTGATCAATTTCTAACTAAAGATGATGTAAGAAATATAATGAAAAGTTTAAGCAAAAATATTTGAGTATATTTCACTGGAAAAAATGGTGGCAAAAACACATCCCAGACTCTTGAACTACCTGAGAAGGTAAGACAGGAGAATGTCTGGGCGACTGGAAGCAAAATGAATGAATGGATGAGTAAATGAAATTAAATCAAGTCCTACAAGCAAAGACCACCCAGTTAGGAAGGATATCCTGTTCTCACCATAGCTTATGACTGAAAGAAGCAGGGAGACCTCAGGGGACCCAAGCAAGAGGTTGCTAAAGAATCCTCCGGTGGCTCGATCCCACTGGGGTTACGGGCAGCCCAGTTAAATGCCCTCTAGGCTGGCTGGCTTTAGGCCTGACCCAGGTCACAGAGAAAGATGGCAAGATGTGCTAAGAGTATGATCTCCTGATTGCCACGGTGTAATTAAAGGCGGCATTACACACGAAAGCACGAAGGGATGGTCTGAGCTGTGTATGCCACCTCCACCTCAGTATTTGCTGGCTTTCTACCACTCACCCATTTGACCTGAACCGCCTTTGCAACGCAGATGTTTAGCAGAAAGCATTTTTCACACCGAAGCTGAAGTCAAGAGCAGGACAGTCACCAGTGTTGCTTATCACAGCACTGGCTCAGGCCTTCAGCTCAGAGGCCAGTGCCCAGCCCTGCCCCAATCTGTGTAACCCTGGGCAAGTCCAGTAACATCTCTGTGCCCCAGGCCTCCATCTGTAAATGAAGCCATCCAGGCAACCGGGGTCCTGTAGGAACGGGGCCATCAGATGCTCCAGGGCAGGGTCAGAAAAGCAGCTCAACAGAATTAGGTGGGTGAAAAAGAGCAAGCCCATAAAACGTTCAAAAGCTGCAACAATACTATTGCAAACACACTACCAAATGTGACAGTGAAAAGAACAGTGACCTACATTAGACATGAGCGTAGCTTCATCTTAAGTGTAGTTTCATAAGCGCTTCATATCCCTTGGACGCTGGCAGTACAGAATACGGGAAGCTGAGCCTGATGGCCAAGTGCACGGCCCTTCACATTTTCCTCTGCTGGGTCATGGCCACTGGCAGAGAGTTCAAGTGTGCTGGGGACACGTCAGTGAATGCTGTAAATGCCCCTTTTTCACATTCTGGGCTTCCTTCGTTTGGCTTTTTTATAGATAGACTAAAGCCAGCTTCATTTTCAACAATATTACAGCCACAGCATAGTTTGCTTGGAAGATAAGGATGGATATAACAGACCTGGGTCCAGACCAACTTTGGCCGTAGCACCCTCTTGCAGACAAAAGCATCCCTCAGAAAAACAGCAGTCTAAATTTGTCCATTTCCCATTGCTTTTCTGTTGCACAAATATACATAATAAACATCCAGGCTTAAATATCTCAAAACACAACAACATATATCAAACAAAAATCTCAATGAGTAACATGTTCTCCCTGCACTTCTAGGAACACCATTCCACTGGAAAAAAGACTCCCTGGCTCTCCCCACTCCTCAGATATGCAAAATGCCACCCTCGCAAGCAAGGGAAGGTTTATAAAGGAGACCCAGGAGTCCCAGTTCCCTGCCCTTACCGCTTCTCCCACCAATATTTTTCAGCCCTTGAAAAGCACGACAGCAGTGGCTGGCTGTAGGAAGCTCTCCTGTCACATAAGCAATGGATAGCAAACAGGCACGTTATCTCTGGGCGAGCAGGAGCATTCCTGTTTCCTTACCACCGGTACAACAAAGGTGCAGGCAGCACAAATCACCCGGGTCACAGAGTTCCCGGCTCTCCCCTTCCTCCTCCACCCTCAGCTCCTCTCTCCATCTCTTCCTCCTTCTCGATGACTTCTTAAGGATCTTCAAAACCTTGTTCACTTTATTCATTTGGTCTCACAGCCGCAGAGAGGGGACAGGATCTCCCCGACTCCTGTGTCTCAGCAGCTCCAGCTCCCCAGGAAGGAGGGACAGCAAGAAGCAGGCAGGTCACTGGGAGGCACGAAAGCGCTTGTGTGTGTATGCATGCGTGTGTCTATGTCAAAAGCTTCTTTCCACCCAAAGAGAGAGTTTTGGGTGGCAGCAGGAGGGGGGAAGGAGTGAGAAGGATTTCTTTTGCCTCTGCCCATCCACAGCTCTTGCAGACAACGACAGCAGGCATTTCTTCTCCCTTACGACTTGGGAAAGCTCATAACTCACAGGGGCAGGGTTTTCAACTCCTATATAGGGTTTTCAATTCCTATATAGGGTTTTCAATTCCTGTTTTCGACAATACATGTATTCTGGCAGATTTCAAATGCTCCTCAGGCAAAAGGGCCAGCATCAGCTCAGAAAAAGCAGTGACTCTTAAAAGAATTCTGGCTTCATTTCAAAGATTAGAAATAGCTAATGCAGACAGCAAACAATATCTGCATCTATGAGAAATGCTAAATACCTGTGTGGTCTGTAGGGAAGAACCTTGACTTTCCTGGACTTGCGTAATTACTCACATTTATCCAGCACCTTTCAGCAATCACTTTCTCACCAACATCTTTGGAAAGAGGCAAGTAATTTCCCCAGTTTCCTGCAGACACTGAGGCACTGCAAGGTGAAGTGGCTAGTCAAGACATTTTTAGCACAACCACTGAACACATCTCTGCAAATAGCTTCTCTCCCTATTTCAAAAGTTTAGACTCTCTAAACTTTTCAAATAATTTAGAGCCTCTAAATATTTTTAAATGACCCTCTGATATTTTTAAACAGACTTTAATGGACAACAGTGTGCAGCCTGCGGTGTCTACCCAGGGCCATAGCGGCCCTCAGACACCAGCCAAACCACTGAGAAGGATGCAAGAGCCCCGTGCAGGAAGCTCTGGCCTGATCTCCCGTCCATGGCAATCTCCAAAGACGGAGAGCTCAGAGTCTCTTCCACTATTGCCATCCTAGTATTGCAAACCAAGGCACAGGTAGGGGGTAAGAAAAGTGCTCTCCTTGAAAGAACCGTTTTGTTTGGCAAATGACAGTTTTCAGAGTCAGGAGACTAAGTGGAAAATAATCCTGTGTGCTTGGGAAAGGCTGCCTGGGAGTCAGGCAGATGACAAACACACACCTTTACTATCAGCTTCTCAGCTGTAACCCAGACTATGAGACCTGACTTAAGATAGATGCTTATTAACGCACTCATACCCATGGGAACCAATGGCAGAGGCAGGTTAGCAGTTCACTAATAGTCACGTCAACCTGGGCCAACCTACAAAGGTATTTGGGTGCCCGGTTCCTCCTTGCAGGATGCGCTTCCCTTAGAAAACTCTGGGAGCTGAGGTAGCTCCTGGCCCTGGGGCTACAGGTCCCACAGGACCCCTTTGCCCTTGGGCCCTGCAGAGACAGTCAACACTATCTTATCTCCCACACTGATGCCAAGGAAATATCCATCGTGATTGCCTCCTGGCCGTTTCAGGGAGGAAAGGTGATCTTTGAGCAATGACTGTCAGCTTGGGAGGAGTCCTCTCCAACCAGGGCAGTGGGGTTAGTGAAACAGAAAGGTTCTTCTCCAAGCAACCATGCGTGGGATGGACACAGCTGTGCCTAGCAGCAGGACTGAGAGCCCGTTAATATGCCTAAAACTCCATTTAGAGTGATATAATTAAGAACAAACCCTGCAGTAGATAGTATTAACGGATGTACAAATTAAATTATCATGCACTTCATTTAAGGCATTATAAATAAGAGCCATTACTTTCACCGATGAGCGAGATGCAACCCACACCCACCGTCCCCATGCAAAGGCCAGCACAGCACAGAGCATGGCCCACCAGCAACAGCCACCCCCAGCCTTGGTTAACTCTTTCAGGCCTGAAGTCTTGCACCCAGACATGGCCACGTCAGCACTGCCACAGAGCGGACCCCAACAGCAAGCTTTGGCAGATGCAGACTTCTCAGCTGATTAAGGCTCAGATTTTAATGAGACATGGCCCCAGACAAACAGCACCGTGCAAATTGCACCACCCCAGGGAACTGTGCCATTCCCACACATCCCTCTGGGGCATAAGTCGTCTTCTTCCACCTTTCTCCAGGAAGGGAGGTAATTTGCACTGCCTTGTCTCAGCAGTTTACCACGGTCAGAGCTGGCTCGGCTACCCAGAAGCAAAGGCAGCTCTTCTGCTGAGCAAGGATCTCCCTGCCTCCCCTCCAGGACAGGACGGATGTGCCTGCTTCCCCATGCTCCTGTCCATGGGCAGCACCCAAATCAAAGCCTGCTCCTGATCAGTGCTCATCCCAGTTCGCATTAGTCTCTCTCTGCCATTCGCAATCCCCGCGCTCTTCATAAGCGTTAAGGCTTTCACAAGCACCCTGGGAGATGGGCAGGGTGCTTGTCCCGGCCTTGCACAATGGAGAAACCCTTTGCAGTGGTTCCCAGGTTAGCTATCAAGCCAGCAGCAGAGTCCCAAAGGGAAAGGGGAAGCACTATGCAGGCAGCATGGCTCAAGGGTGATGGGGTCCATAATTCCTGGTAACATGCAGGAGAACCCAACCTTATCCACCCAGGGCAGGGCCAGACTTCATCCCTAATCCTGCTCCCCTTTCCTCAGGCTCCTTCTTTGCACAATCTTCAGCATACTGGTATCCCCAAACCTTCCCCCATCTCCATCTCACTCCCACCCCAGACTCATTCCATTTCCTCTCCTTTTCTTTGGAGAATGGCTGTAATCCTTCACGTATTCCTCATCAGTGAGATTTATGAGTACAATTCCATTTTATTTTGATGGTTAATACTAGCACTAATGCTGCTGTCATGTCTACATAATTAATAATGAGACTAATAATGCCAAACCAATCTAAGAGTCACTTTATTAGTCTTCAGTGTTATTAGTTAGAGCTGATGTAACCAATTCAAGCTGTGGTCTGTACTGAGTCACCATTACTACTTCTCCTATAAAAACCATGAATTTAGGGCTGTAATGCAGCCCAGATTCTCAATCCAGCAACGAATGCTATAGAGGGTCATCTGAGGACGATCCCTTTCTCATCTAACTAATATTTTAGAGAGCTGCAGCAATGCAGTGAGCAGCAGGAAAGCAAGACGGCGTGGAGCAACGTAAAGCATTTTGCTGAGATGAGCTCTCAGGGACCAAAGCTACAACCTGCACGTCTCCCGTGGCTGCAGATACTACTTGCACTCATCCCATTCTGCATTTTCCCACCTGCCACAGCATCATGTGGCCCATCGTACAAATGGAGAAGGAAAAACAGTCTTTGATGCAATATCACTCTCTGCCTTAGCATGCAAACACCTGTAGAGCTGCTGCTGTCTGCAGCAGGGAGGTTGGTGTCCCCATTCTTAAAACAGGGTCTGGCTGGGCACTATGAAAGGCAACAAGCCACCATGAACCATCCAGGCCCTGTAGGCTACTTTTTCATGATTAAGTAATCATGAGTTCTCTTAATAACCTGTTTTGGAAAGACTTCTGCTTTATGGCCAGCCTTGCTGCTAATCCTGTAGATTGCACTCACACTGCTTTCAAAATTTATTCTGCAGTCAGGGCAGCAAGTTGCTCTCTCATTTGAAGGCCGAAAATTGCTGCCTCAAAGCAGTAAGGATTTAAGGGGTGAAAATCCTTCAAAGCAACTCACTAACTACTGTGAGTACTGGAGCCACTTTGGTTTCCATTCAGGTAATCACACACTCTTTCATGTCCTATTCCCACTTAGCTTCACCTTCCAATTCTCACAAATTATCTGAAGCTGTTTGATTTGAGCCAAGATTTGGGTAGAATTTAGGAAAGTTCAATAATAACAGTTTAATATTGCTAAATTAATCCAAACTATTTACTTCTCCCTCCTTTTCCAATCGCAGTCCTAGAGTTAAAGTATAGCAGCTATTAAGTGTTTTCAAAAGCAAACCACGCATGTTTCAAATTGGTCTCAGTTTAGCAGTTTTATTTTTGTGTTAAATGATAGGGAACAGCATTAGCACAAGGGTCATTACGTGAGTCAGCAGCACGCAGTGGCTGCCTGTTGCCCGACAAGACTGAGAACAGCCTCCTGCTCTGCTTTAGCCCGGGCAATCCTCCTCTCCTTCGTGCTCCTGTTTAATCCTAGCCCTGACAGGGGGGCCATCCTGCACCCCATGGAAGAGGCTGCTCACTAATCAGCAGTATTATTAGGTATTTCTTAGCATTAGAGCATCCCAGGTGATTTCAAACAGGAAAGCAGCCAGGGCTATAGCCCTTAATTTTTATAAAACGTAGGTGCAGCGCATCTACCACAAACACAAAAGGGTGGTAGGTCTTCAGCAGGAAGACCCTAAGGAGCAAGGGATGCAGAAACACATCCCTATCTGCCTATGCCAGGGCCCCCCAGTCACAGCTGAGAGATTTAAGCATACCCAAACCTCTGGCTTGTTTTTTGGGAGGCAGCCCTCAGGCAAAACTGAAGGCATCATTCTCCAAAGGTAGCGCTTGGAAGTAAGTTCCCAAAGCCAACAAGTCAACCCATGCATCACCGACTGCTGCAGCGCAATTCTCCATAATCACATGCAACACGAGTCTGCTGCAGCACAGAGAGACACCATAGAGACACCATGTCCTCATTCAACACTAAGCAAATGCCTCCAAAGCAAGAGGACGCATCCCACTCCAAGCACTATTTCACCAGTAAGCTCTTGCCTGAACTTTCTCTACCACAATACGTTTTGCTTGTTGCCTAAGTCCAAGTTTCTGCTAGGCATAGCGAGGCTACAAACAGCACAAAACACCGCCTCGCTTGCTGCAGTTATTAATCACACCATGCAGCACTGTTGTTAGGCTTCGTGTCATGAAGTCTTCAACTGGTTTTAACACCAATCTGCGGCACTGACCTGCTCTGCAAGTTTCTGCTGACTCCCTGCCATTTTACTCTCTTCCCTTAGATAT